ACCTTAGCTAGAAAGACTATGAAAGAAAGAAAAGACCTTGCTCAGTCAATGAAATTTGTGAAAAGGTTCATATTTCACATGTGAATCTTAAAAATCATGGGAGCATAGATCCCACCAATAACGTTATTTTTAAATTGACCTAAAAATATAGACTTTTATATATCCAAATAGAATGATGCACAGTAAAATAAATGAAACACATATACGATCCATTAGATTAAAAATCTAAAGATTTTATTGAATCAAATTTTGTTGCAAGTGCCAAAAATGCACTATTACAAGTGCATAATAATGCATCACAACATACCAAAAATGCATTATTCTCATTTTTCATACTATTGCTTCGTATATGTATATAATTACAAATTTTGGGCCTTGAAGAAAAGGAAGAAAAGGACCCGAACCGGATAAGCAATTTGGACCTCCTCCAGGCCATCCCGATCATTATACCTTCGGATATACGGTGTTTAGTTTTTAAAAAAATCAAGTGGCTATCTTGTTTTCTTTTGAAGGCCCTGTTTGAAAATAGCGTTAGCGTTTTCAAAATAATCTACACTGTTAAAATTTTATCCAAAACGCTAACGTTATTCTCTAACGCTAATCTCAAATAGACCCGAAAACAAAGAGTAAGTGGCTTAAAACATACAAACTTTTTTCCAAGAACGAGCATAAAATATAACTCCCTCTCCTCTTTTTTCTCTTTCAAACAAGATGTAAAATTTGATCACCTTTAAAATGATTTAATTTTATTTATAAATTGGAATAGATGAAATAAATAAAAATTATGCCGTTCAAAACTACATCAAACGTTCTACAATATATGACGTTGTACTTGTAGGAGTATCATATTTTATCGAATGATAAATGAAAACATACACACAAACATATAAATTAACGAAAAATCGTAATGGCAAACAAGAAGAAAGATATGAGACGAATGGAGTAATATTATACTAGTAGTATTTATTTTGAACCGCAAAAAGCACTCTTTACCGAGTTACGGTACAAGATATGCTTTGTATAGTAGTAATAAGACAATAAAGTAATCTTACCTCCCTATTTTAGTACTTGTCTAGTTTTGACAAAATTTGACTACTAATTAAATAAAATTAATATTAGATATTGACACAACAATAAAATTATTAGACCTAATTTGTTTTGTATAATATGTTCAAAATATTACTCCCTCCGTTCTAAAAAACACTTCCTCTTTCATTTTTTTCACTTCCTACAAAACACATCCATTTTCTATTAAAAAACCACTTTTACTCTTATTTTTTCATACATTACATATCACATCATACTTTTTCTCTAATAAACTATCCATCACATCTTACTTTTACTCATCACATCAAGGGCAAAATTGGAAGTCAACTCCAATTTAATACTACCTCCGTCCCAATTTATAACGTCTGTTTCGGTTTACGATGTTTGACTGAAATTATTTTCAAACCGTTTTATATGCAAATGGTATAGAATTAAAAAATAAAAATTACATATTAAAAAACTACATCAAAAGATCTACAAAACTAGTAGTGACAATAATATTTTATTTTATCAAATTGCTAACGAAAATAGATAAAGAAAGTGAATGAAGTTTGACCCTGTGAATAGTAAACAGGCATTATAATTTGGGACGGAGGGAGTACTTTCTTAATTTTACACTTGGTCAAAATTTGAACTCTTTTTTAGAAGGGATGGAGTATTTTATCTAATCTGTATACTTTACAAATTTTTTAATTATAGGTCAAATGTTGAAAATAATTAACTACAAAAAATCAAAATCTAACACATATTCACGGAGGAAGGTAGCAATAATACAAAAATGAGAAGGATATTAGAACAAATTGATTAAGTACAATTAGAAATAGAAGCAATTATCTGGCAACCTTACAATTAATTGTGGTTAACTGTATCTGCTACAAACATTGATCTAGTACAAATATACAATTAGAATTAGAAACAATGCACCACAAAAAAAAAAGAAAATAATTTACATCTATAAATTATTTTTGAAGAGCAAATAAATTTTGTATTTGAGTTTCAAATAATTTTCTTCTCAATTTCTTTTTTTTTCTCAAATTTGATGTGTGCGTCTAAACAATATATGTATAAGGAAAATTGGACTTGATATAAATAAGAGAACAAGCTCTTGCTGTAAGAGGACTATTTGTTTTTAAATACTCCTCCCGTCCCAAATTTTGTTATAATTTTTTTCTTCTCTATTAATATTTTTTGTTTATTTGTGTATTTTCATTGACTATTTAATAAAATAAAATACTCTTATCATCTCTTTTTTTGTAAAATTTTTGACGTAGTTTTCTAATATGTAATTTTTATTTTTTTATGATGTACCAATTTATAAGTAAAATAATTTCAAAAATAATGAAATTTTACCTCATAATTTCTAATTTGTAACCAAAATTGGGACGGGAGGAGGGAAACAATGAACGTATATCATTTAAATGTGTAATTATGTTGTCCAAAGAACTTGTCAAGATTTTTATCCCTCATAATTATTCTAATTAACTAAAAAGGAACAAGAATAATTTAGTTTTCTCCGACCGTAACATATAGGCCCCGTTTGACATCAGCGTCAGAGATTAGCGTTAGCGTTTTGAAAAAGCTATCCAATGGTAGCCTTTAGCGTTAGCGTTTTCTGAATTCATCTGCACCGTTAAAATGTTATCCAAAACGCTAACGCTAATCAAAAACGCTGTTACCAAACAAAGCCATACTCGATTACTCGGTAGGTAATCATATCTTTGTGACGTTTTTAAGTTTGGAACAACAAGTTACTATCTCAAAATTGTAGAAATAATGGATTTTACTAGTAATTAATAACAGCCATGAGCTGTTTTGAAAAACTTTTATTATCAAAAAACTAATGGATTAAAATGAAATTTCTTAATTTAATGGGAAAGGAGTGTCAAATAAATGTTTTTTTATTGGTTTGAGTAAACAACAAACCAAATTTCAAGGGAAAAGAAAAATGTTGTGAATATATGACCCCGTTTGATATTAACGTTAGAGATTAATGTTAGCGTTTTGGAAAAGTTATCGACAGTAGCCTTTAGCTTTAGCATTTTTAAATTTAATTTACACCATTAAAATTTTATTCAAAATGTTAACGCTAATTGAAAACATTGTTACCAAATAAAGTCTATATTATTGTAAAGTCTACCTAAGAATGAGATTATAGTACCTCCTTTCAAAAAAAAAAAGATTAGAGTACCTAAGATTAACAAATAAACAAACTAACGTATGACATGAATGGGCCATCTACTTAATTACCTAAAATGACGAGGAAGCAAATGACATGAACGCCCATCACCCCAACCATTTTCACCTTACCTAAAACTTATAGAATGTATATTTTAGCCACCTCATTAATTATATATTTTATATTAACTCCTCAAAGATTATGTTTCTAAGTTTGTATTGTGAAAGTGAATAAAAAAAATTATCCTATACATTATAATATTGCTCTTTTAAAATGCTACCGTTAATATCTTGATCTGATATCAATAAGTAATAAATTAAAATAAAACTAGCACAATGTTGGGAGGACAAAAGGGTTAGCCTTAATTTTCTTCAATATTTGTACCTGTGTGTGAATGGTTTGTAATAAAGATTGAATAGTAAAAAAGCGTAGCTCAATTAGTCAATAGAAAACTTTTGTCACTGGATACGACTTGTGGCAAAGACAACGTGAGATACTTATATTCTATACTCCCTCCGTCCCTAAATAAAGTTTCATTTTTGACTTTTTGAGGATTTAAGAGAGAGATATTTTGGTGTTGACTTTCCAAAAATACCCTTGATGTGATGTGTTAAAGTAAGATGTGATAAGTAGATTATTAGTAAAAAGGTATGATGTGATAGGTAGGGTATGAAAAAGTAAGGGGTAAAAGGGGTTTTTTAAGGGAAAAGAGAAGTTTATTTAGGGACAGAAAAAACGAAAGAGGAACTTTATTTAGGGACGGAGGGAGTATAAGATATTGTCTGGATATATGTCAAATATGATTCTTTGTGGGTGTTTCTCTGTGCATTTATAAATGATCAAAATTGTTTGTAAGTTATTTTTAATTTATAAATTAAAAATTACTTATCAATATATAATAAATCAATAAGGCTAAATGCTATCATCACTAAAAAAGATGACGAAGTGGAAGAAGAAGAAAATGAAAAAGAAGAGAAAATAAAGAAGACTTAGACAAAGAGGAAGGTAGACAAAGAAGAAGAAAAAGAAAAAAAGATCGGGAAGCCATGTACGGCTGTACTTCGCCGAGTGCCGATCATGGGGGGCGATGTTGTGTATCGGCACTGATGCCAAATAGGCCATACCAAGCTCCACACCTCCTCATAGCCTAAGCACAAATACAGAGAAATATCTTTTTTATTATTACTCCTTCCGTCTAAAAATTATCTTTCCGTTGCGAGTTACGAAATTTGACTGAAGTTATTTTCAAATTATTTTATATGAAAAATGGTATGAAATTAAAAAAGTACATCAAAAGAACTATAAAACTAGAAGTAACATGCATGAATAGCTATATTATTTGGTTATGCAATAATTTTTGGACCAATGATATCTTGTAAAGTGGAGATTAGAGCTACATTTACTACTCCCTCCGTCCCTATTTTGATTACAATTTTCTCCATCTCCTCTCAATAACTTTTGTTTATTTACGCGATTTCATTAAGTATTTGATAAAATAAAATATTCATCTCACCACTTGTTTGTAGAACTTTTGACGTGATTTTTTAATATGTAGTTTTATTTGTTATTGATATACTGATTTGTAAATAAAATAATTTCAAAAAGTGAGATATTTTTCTTCATAAATCCAAATCTGTACTCAAATTGGAGACGGTAAGGAGTATGTGAATGGGATTCTCTCTCTCTATATGGTTAAAGTCAATAATGTTTGTGTAAGAAAGAAGAAATACCCAAAACAGCCTTTTCAATTTCCCCAACCAAATTACCTTCCTATGCACGTCTGATCTCCTTTTTTTTTCCTCCCTACCGCCCATATTTATACTCTCCCTAATCTTATTTTTCTTTTCTCTCTTCTCATTTTTCCCCCCTTAGCTTTTTTCTCCTCTTTAACTTCACGCCTTCCCCTGCCCCCACCACCGGAAAAAACCAACAAATGTCCGCAGATCTGGCCGAGCTCCGGCAAGATTTGCCGGAAATTCAATCGCCTAGAGAAAACGTAATCATTAATTCCTCCCCTCCGGACCGGAATGTTTCCGTGATTAAGGAAGAGGAGGAGGAGGAAGAGTGCCGGACGCCGAGATCGCCGCGGAATTTGATACCGGAAACGGTTGTGTGTCCGCCGGCGCCGATGAAGCCGCGGCGGCCGGTGATCCGGTGCAAGAGGAAGCTGACGGAGCTCAATTTCTTGGAGATGGTGGCTCGAGAGGAGGTCGATTCCCTCTTCCGCGCCTCCGCCGCCGCATCCGCCACCAAGATCAGAAGGTGCCTTGTGTAAATTCCGTAAATCGAAAAATATAATAGAAACGGATAATTCCACTTCTTATTTCCTTTTTTTATTTATTTTTCTTTTATTTTTTCAACAGGTGAATTTTATGTGTACGTAAAAATTACAGATATTATATATATACACAGTATGTGTGAATTATTTTAATTTTTTGTTGAAAACTGATTCAACAAATTCGGATCTGAATTACTGTATACGTATATTGTATACTGATGCTTATACAAGAATCAAAATTCAATTGCAATTATTTCGGTTGAAATTTTATTTCATTAAATTATTGTTTAATTTGTTAGTGAAATATTATAGTTAATTAAACAGAAATTGTAATTAGACAAAGACAATAATATGGTCAAAGTCATAATATGACAGTCATGCCTCATTACAAAAGGCTGGCAATAAAGATCATGTTACCATCACCCCAAATTTTATGCCAATGTTTGACATCACATATTTTTAGAGAATTACTACTCCTTCCCAAATTTAATTACGGAGTACAATTTTTTTTCTTTCACTTTTTGATAATTTTTTTTATTTGTATTTTTTTGATTATTTGATAAATATAATAATTTTATCACCTCTTATTTTGTAGAATTTTTGAATTAGTTTTTTAATATATTATTTTTGTTTTTTGTTGATGTAATGACTTACAAATAAAATAGTTTTAAAAGATACAGAGTTTTACCTCATAAATCTCAATTTGTAATCAAATTTTGGGACAAAGTAAGTATTATTATTTGAATTTATATAGACAATATAATTATCTCTACATATTTTTGAAATATACTTGTATAATATTGTTTTCTGATGTCAAAATAAATTTAGGATGACAATAATAATAGTGTAAATGATTGAACCGACAGGGTGGTTAATGCATTTTGGAAAGCATCATTTTTGGTTTCACAAAAGCATCTCAACTCATTAGTCATCATGAAATAAATACTCCCTCCGTACTATAATGATCTTCCCGGTTCGAAGAACTTTTCATGTAGTTTTTTGATATGTAAATTTTATTTTTTATTTCTATACCAATATGTAAATAAAATGAATTGAAAAAACTTGATATTTTGTCTCGAGAATACAAATGTAACAAATATTTAGGGACGGAGGGAGTATTTTACATACTTTCTTTGAAAGGAATGTTTGATTAAATCAGATTTTTTAATATCTTTTATGTTATCAAAATAAAATAATTGTAAGATTTTATTTTGTAGAATGTTTGATATGATTTTTAAATGTATATGAAGCCTAATTTTATTCTTTACAAATAGGCCCTTGGTAATTGTTATTTTTTTTTTCCATTAATTGGTAATTTTATTCTTTACAAATAGCACGCACTCTCTTGTTAAGAGCTCAGTTCTAGTTTTAAATGTGGAGGTAGAAGGAAAAGTGTAAATAGACTTGCGAAATATATTTGGAGTCTATTAGTACTTGAATTGAATAATGGTATGAAATCAGACTCGAAATTGAATGCTCTATTTGTAACCAATACTATTTGAGATGATCTGAACCAAATTGAGCCAAATTTGAATTACTCTAATCAGGAAAAGCTGATCGATTCGAGCAAATCTGAATCGATTACTTGGAACTCGCACGGAATCATAACAATTAACAAAATCAAATGATATTCAAACCAAACGGTAACCAAACAACTCGAATCAGAACAAACTTGAAATGAATCATACACGAGTCATTGATAATTAATCAATGATAGGCCTTTTTGGCTAAAGATTAGAAAATGTGAGTGATTTTTTTACGTATTTTAGAAATGATTGTTAAATTCACTCTTCATTTGGTTATATCAACATCTTTTTATATTAAATAGACATGATTTATCTCTGAGAAAATTCTATAATTGGTCTTCTATAACAAGATTTTCCATATTTAATCTTTTATTATCAAATATTACGTTTGTAGTCCTTTTTTATGAGTATCTTTCCACAAATAGTTATTTTTTACCTTCAGTCATGTTAGTGTTATTTTGAAGACTAAAAGTGTAACTTGATATAAACCCTATGTCTAGTGACATATTATGATGTCGGTTATATTGACTACACAGCAATAATGGTTATGGTTGTGGTCTAGAATTACGACGAAAGACCAAATATGTAGACTATATTTATAGTACACAACGACTGTGATTCACACAGGACAGGCACATTAGGAGCGGCTTCTAAAATTGTGTATGACAAGAATGATATATGAATATTGTGATATTACACTTTTAGTCCTCAAACTAATATCGACATGATAGAAGATCAAAAAATAGACTATTTGTGGAAATACACCTATAAAAAAGAGCACGAACATAATATGAGTATTTGATAATGAAAGACTAAATATAGAAAAACTCATGTTATAAAGGATAAATAATGAAATTTACTTTTGTGTTTCGTGTTTAACAAAGAAACAAAGAAGTAAAAGAGCAATGCTAGGGGTACACCAAAAGGTGTACCCCAAATGTACACCAACCCCTTCTCCACCACACATTTTTATTTGATTTTTATTTACTTATTTTTTTAAAATTTTTTTATCTTTTTTAGTGGACAAGGAGGGGGTGGGGGACACATGGGATATACCACCCCTACATTTTTCGAAGTAAAAAGACAAATCTTGTCCCTTTCTTACAAATGAAGTGAAAAGACAACTTCCCCATATTTTGGCTTTGGTATGAAAGTTTCTCTCTCTCATTTTTACCAATGTAACATTACATTACCCCTTCTTTTAACCCTTACAAAGATAAAATTGAATTGGTCGATTGGAGGAAAGTTCTCCTTTTTTTTCTCTCGTATTATAATTGTTTTCCCATCTTATTATTAATTGTTTAAAAACTGATCTCTTTTTCTTCTCTTCCATTTGAAAAAAGAGACTATTCACACCCTAACCTAAAGTCCTAAAAAGTTTATTACAAGTATATCTTATCTTTTTTATTTTTATTTTAAACACAAAGAATTTTGAGTTTTTTAAAACATTACTAAAAAATTAAAAAGAAATTTAAAAAACCTTTCTAGGAAAAGGAAACAAATAGATAACAAAAGAATTAAAAAAGAAAAAAACCAAATATTAAACAAACAATAAGAAATGAGCACGAGTGCCCCCATACAGTTTAGAAAATAAGCGCCAATGCCCTTTTTCGCTGGAAAATGACCAGAAAATGATCGGAGATGGTGTGAGTGCAACGTTTTGAAATTACGAAAACTTTAGAAATAAGTTTTGAAAACAGAGAGGGTATTGAAGCCAATTTTTCAAATCACAGTGGACACTTGAACTATTTGGCCCCATTCAAATTAAATTTACTCAATTTGACAAAGTTGTTAATTTACTCATTCAATATACGCTGTAGTAACGCTACCACTACTAGGGGTGTAAATGAACCGAATTGAAGGGAATATCGAGATATTTGAATTTGTATTTGTTTAATTTTTTTGAATACGAATCCGAATATGAGACAAATTCAAAATAAGATTTGAATATGTATCTGTTTAATATTCGAATAGTTAACGAATACTAAACGAATATTTGAATAATCATACTATGTAATTTATATGATGGACCAACATTGATATATAATTTAGCTTATGATATTCCTTTTACTATACTATATTCCGTATCTAAAAACATTAGTATATTTGCATCTTACTCAAATTATATTTTATAAAATATAACTATTAAAAATTATATGCTTTAGATTTTCGTGTTACGTTAATTTATTGAATTCTTAATTGGTAATTTAAATACACTTTATACTATATTAGTTTGCTTGACTATTGATGTTGAAAATATGGTCCGTGTATATATACATATATTTGAATATTCGAATATCATCCGAATCGAATATATTCTTATTTGTATTTGTATTTGTTTAATATTCGAATAAAAAATAATATTTGAATTTGAATCATGCAAATTCAAATACAAATCATGAGTCGAATTTAAAATATTTGATTTGTTTACATCTCTAACCACTACCACCTAAGCAAATCAGTCTTATTGGCTACTAGGAGCAATGTTGGGCTTGTTTGGTGAGCCTACTATAGCTGGCCTAAGGGAGGTGGCCTATAGAAACAGTAGAGGCCCAGCTCGTCTTAGGCTGATTAAGTTTGGCCTCCCTATTCGGATTCTTGCTGGGCTAATACCGGTTTTAGTTGCACTATATTTTATACACAAAAAATTCACGAGAAAATTAAAAAAAAAATGGAATACTATATTTTATTTAAAAAGTTGCAATGAAAAATCATTAACTTTATTAAAAATAATTCATAACCAAATAAATATTTTAAAATACTCCGTATTATATAGTGCTCCGTATTTTTTAATAACTTTCTTACCCATCAGTGTGATACCTATTTAAAACAATCTCAATCTCTTAAGCAAAGGGGTAAAGCTCACACACTAAATGTGAAGAAAATTGAGGTGGTTTTCTTGGCACTACACCAACATGTTTCCACATGCTTTGTATTTTTTTAATGTCAGTATTCATTAAAATGTGAAATGGATGACAAAAATATTTATAAGATGATTTAATTATGCTTTTGCTATTGTTTGTACTTGTTGCTTGTACTTGATGCCTTATCTGTGCTATACTGTGTTCTCTTCCATATTTTTGTGCAGGTGGAGCCGGGGGTCTCTTGGAAACAGCCTTCCTACTTCCGAGTAGGGGCAAGGTCTGCGTACACACACCCTCCCCAGACCCTACTGTTGTGGGATTCAACTGGGTTGTTGTTGTTGTTGTTCTAAATCAATACTCACAGTTTGGATTTGCTCGAAGTTTAAGGAAAATGAAATTATACGGTTGAAAGTGATGCGGAAAAGAAAAAAATATGAGGCACAAAGCTTTCCAAAAAATAAAGTAGAAAACATGCCTAATTTGGGACAGAGGGGGCATTAATTACAAGATGCATTACCTAAGGTATTAATAATAATTGCTGCTTTTACTAACATTTCTGCCTACTACAACAATTGCAATTACGTTAATGATCAAAAGTAGGAGAGCATTTAATAAATACTCCGTAATTTCAGTCAAATAGAGTTTTTTTTAATAAGCTTGAAATGTTTATAAGAAAAATAAAACATTTTATTGATTTAATCATATTTTAGTGTTTGTACTCCGTATGATGATGCAAGACGCATTTAATGTTGAACAGAAAATGCACTTTGACCACTGCCACATTTATGCAAGACATTAGGAAGTCAAAGACAACATTTAGGATGCATAGCATTATAGTTTGAGAAAAGAGTTCATAAATTGGACAAAATGTGACAAAATATAATGGTTTGTAAATATGTTTAATTTCAGGACAAATAAAACCCATAGTAATGTAACATGTGCATGAGTATATAATGCACATAATGTCATTATCAGACATATAATAGCATTATGAAGTAACCTTGAGCTACAAAAATAGGCAATATTACACATAAAGTTTTTTTAATTTGAGGGGGGGAGGGTGGTTGGGGGGTTAACGATTTTAAACTAACTCGTCTTTTTGGGGATTTTCACATTTTGGACTAGGATTTTGTTCAGCCTAATTTCGAGGAGAAGAAAATATTTGGAACAAAGTGTGCATTATTGCATTATAAGTTGCTTTGGGATGTGGATGATAAAAAAAGAACATTTTGTGGGTCAAATGGATACATATTTTAAAAAATTGAGCTTCAGTCGAATCTCTCCAAACAATTCCCGAACGATGTTCGCTTAGTTTATAACGTTTTATTTCATCCACCCCATAATTTTCTTCCCACTTTGAGTAGCCACCACCCTAGTTCAAAAAACATACTTGGGTGGTTGATGTTTATTTGGAACAATGAGAAGACACATGTCAACACACATTTTTTCTATTAAAAGGAAACAGTAGAGTTTTGGGACAATCTAAAAAAGTGAAACATGAAGGAAATTATGGGAGAGATGGATTATTAACCTCGACTACATAACAGAATAAGCACGGATGACCTCAACAATAGGTGCTCGGCACAATGGACACCTCCCTCCGGTTCGGACCAACTCACTCGCGCATTTTGAACAAGTGCACATGTGCCCGCATCTGCAAACCCCGCACAACATTCATCACATCCATATGCACAGAAATTCGGGTTTATTATAAAAGTGTGTCGGGGTATGGGTGTGGATTGGTTTATCATACAAGTGTGTGTGTGTGTGTGTGTGTGTGTAGTTGATGTGAGCGTACAAAAATGTATACCGGTACAACAGGGAATCAATGTGGCAATCACAACAGACACAACAAGTACCCTTCCTCGCATAGCTCCATTTTGAACCGTCCATTGAGAAGTTCTCTGTAGTAGCCCCTGAGAAAGATTTGCAATCTTAAAAAATTTTAAAAATAAAAGGAGAAATGCTAAATTGAAAAACCAATCAGTTCAAGGTTAGAAGATTAGTTCTCTAACACATCATGTAAGGGAAAACACAAACCTTCAGCTGAACGGTTCAGAGCAGCAGAAACCTCTTGTCGGATCGAGCGCTGCAACTCTAAATGCATATCCACACAGGCTTCCAGCATTCTCTGCATTGTGTTCATACCTTGCTGCAATTTAGTCATGTCTGCTTTCATCTCATTTAATGTCCCCCATTCCTGCTCCACGTTATATTAATAAATAGCCAAAACATAGAATTCAAAGTTTCAAACAATCAATGAAAAACAAGACATACCCCATGGTTGTATAATACTCCATATGTTCCTAATTAGGATATCGCTTCTAATATTCATTCTTTCGAGTCAACTTTTCTGTATTTTCTTACTTTATAAATCAATTGAAGAACATACTAAATTCGGGTTTTGAGGTTTGATAGAACATTCAATAGATTTTTTAAGCATGCAAGTTTTAATGACTAGTTCAGGATTAAATATTTTTATTTAAAAAATGACTTTGGCCAAACATCATAATCCATAATGTAACATCCTTTTAAGAACTGAAGTAATAGCAAACACACAATAGCATCATATTAAAGTATTTGAAGGAAATAAAATCAAAGCTAAAGAACATTTTAAAATACGAAACAATCCCTATCAGAGGGGCAGAGATCTTACAAATTCAGAACGATGAACAGTGTGGCGCGCCCAACCAGAACGATGTAAACCCTGATGGCGAAGAGGTTGTGATGGAGGAACAGGAGGAGATGGCAGTACAGGAGAAAGCCTGCCAATATCATCATCATGTTCATCTTCATTATGCTGTTGTTCTTGATCCATTTCTGGTAAGGTGGGGGTGATGGGCAAATTTCTGTGCACATCCCAATCAATAGGTGCTCGACTCTGCCTTTCTACATACGACTGAACTAATTGATCTAAACTATCGCGGAAGCCACTCCGCAAGAGGTTAGAAACACTCCTCCTGCAATATGAAAAATATTTCAACAAACTTGACTCCACCAACACTCTTTTTTATGGATCGGGTATAACTTTAACCCACAAAAACAGAAAGAAAAAAAAGCAAAGTACTCCAGTTCCAAACTCATGAAAATAGGGAAAATAGTTTCAACGTGAATATAAGATATTCCTGGAAACAAAAGAAGCCTAGTAGTATAGCTTTTACGGATTATGCATACCTGCCTAGGAGTTCTCTGAGTTCTAAGCTGTATACATTCTCGTCCCCAAGGGGATGGGATCTATTAAAGCTCCTAAGTGAGACAGAGTGCTGCAGCCTAGGAACATCAGGAAGTTCATCTGACCAATTTTCTACAGTTTCTGCCCTTTCTGGCAAGCCATCATCATGCCAACCCTCTTGAGCTTCATGCAACTGCTGTTCATCTCCATTGGCATCTCCTTCTGTCTCATGGGGAAGAGCCGTTACTGAATTAACATGCCAGTCCATACTTGTGCTTTCAACAGTCTCATCAGTCCACCCAGTAAATTCATCAGAAGTTGAACTGTCCTGGTTTCCTCCATCGGATTCAGATTCACTATCCTGATTAAGAGCTGTTTGTTGACTTTGACTTAAATTGATACTAACATCAATGTTTTCTGTGTGTTCACCATACAACTGATGAGAGTTACCATCATCTTCTCTAAGCTGCAGTTGGTCAAGATTTCCACTTTGACTCCACACCAAGTGATCTATCTGGAGATTTTGGGCATTGGTGTTGGTACTGTCAGATGAAGGTTCGGAGTTGCAGCTCACTTGACCACGAACAATGTTTTCTAATCTCGAGCGGAATCCTTCCCTTATTGAACAAATAAGACAGCAACTTCATCAATGGAAAAAGGCATAAGGTTCTCAAGATTAAAAGCAAAATCATTTAAATTTATATATGTTCCATTACTTCCATAATGTGCGCGAAGAAAACACAATCATCTGAAGAATTGGATCTACATGCATATAGAGCTACTTAATGATGGTCCAGGAAGGGCATACCTAAAGTAGGAATATACACATAAATAATATCACATCAACACAAACACCTAATCACAAGCCACCAGCCCACCAAACAAGCTCTTGAAGCCTACTTTTCATAATGCATGACTAAGCTTAAGCGTTCTCACTTACAGATGTAGGTAAGAAAATATCATAACAAAAGTACTGCTATATACGCAGGATGAAATTTAGAATACATGATTGCCACCATAAGAATCGTAATTATCTAGTAACCTGCAATATCATAATTTCACTGAGTTGTGAAAATAGAATCTAGACATCTTAAAACTAGCATTAAAACATATTTTGAGCATCAGAATGTAGTATACATTTCTGCTCTGGAATACCACATTGTCAGAACAAGCTAAATAAATTAAGTACAGAAGGGGTCATTCTTTTGCTTTCTTTTTTGATCTCATTACACCAGAGAGGAAAAAAGAGAAGGGATCCAAGCCCAGGACATACACTGTGATCCAAGCTTACCCACTAAAGTCATGCTCCTATTGCCCCTAATCCTCATTAAATCATAAGTGATCACATTCACTGTGAGCGACTGAGAATGTAACACCAACATCACCGAATTGTTTGATGTTATGTTAGACATTTTACATGTTATCAGTTATCACGTCATCATAAGAAAAATGCTAGATCTTCACATCCTACTCCTTTGCAATTTATCACAACAATTAAGCTTTTAACACCATACAAATTGTAAAGGGAGTGGAAGAATGTTTTAAATGAAAGAGCTACATATAAAGCATCAAAAACACAACTTTCAAAACCAAAAGAAGCCTCTAGTGCAGAAATAGAGGTGCGGTGCAGGTAATTCTAGCCCAAATACCTCAAGCCAGAGACAGTGCGTCGTTGCCTTAGCTGAATCAGTTCAGCTGCTGCCATTGAAGGTAATCTTTCCTCCTCGACAGGCCTTTCATTTCGCAAGAATCTACCTCTGAGCAGTGACTGGGAAATATATATTAAAAAGCATTTAAAACGTAGTTGAAAGCACAGTAATACACTAATACTTGTATGATTTTTTTAATTTTCTGACTCTTTTGAGAAAAGGAATTATATTTAAAGGTAATATATTATCTAGAGTCTAGAGAGTAGAGACTGCAAAAGGGTGTTAAAAAGTAAATAGCCTTGCTCTCTAGCCTAAATGGTCAAAAATTCCAGGCTTTTTTTGCATCATTGTATGTCACCTAGCAGACAAGATATGTCCATTGGATGTAAATCCAAGGAACTAAAATTTGGAATGGCATGTTGAATGCCTGAATATCAGTTAAACTGTAAAGTGTAAACTAGATTTAGAAGCTAGAACTGAAATTACTATCTACTGTCCCACTATTTTTGTTCCCTTTTACCTTTTTTTGTTCGTCCCAACTCCCAAGATTTCGTCTCATACCACATTTAGTAACATTTTGGAGGTCCACACGTGTTCTAACTTCTTCCTATTTTTTAACTTCACTATGAACCATACATTTGGGTGCAACTCCCCTATGTCATAGATAGTGGGACGAGAAGAGTATATGCATAAACAAATAACAGATGGAACATACATAGTCAAATTCAAAACACAGGAGTATAAATTTTCCGTAACAGAGGAATAGATAAGAAATGAATACTAAGAAAGGCCAAACAAAATGTCACGTAAAGAAATACCAGGATGAAACAAAGTGATAACTAACTTGAATTCGATTGCGGTGGGCAAAGTTAGAAACAGCCCGGTGCTCCGAAAGTCTCCAAAGTTCCCTTTGCCTTTCCCTTACATTCCCCACAAGCACGCCAAGCTGACCCTGCCTTCCACATGATCTCAGCATGTCTCCGTCAACATGCTCTTGCTGACCTTCATTATCATCATCAAGTCCACTGTACTGCTCTTCCATGTGCCCCCCATGGGGTGCTCTCTGTTGGTTGTTCATTTGCACCCACTCCCTCACAGTTCTAACCCTTCCAATATCAGTTTCCCCAAGCCATTCCCCACTCCTCTGGACAACATTAGATAAATTATCTGTGATCCCTCTCTCCATCCACCCATGAACAATACGTCCCACTCTATCCCTCTCAAGATCACCTGAATCGGGTGACTGCTCTCGGCTGGAACTGCTATGTCCCATATTCTCATCATGTTGTCCAATTGGATCATGAGACCAAGTTCTTAAGCCAATCTCAAACTCAGTAGCATCTGTAATGCTGGCTTGGTTCACACTGTCTCTGCTTTCCGACATGCTCAAACTCATCTGATGTGCCACCCTTTCCGTACCAGACAATAATTCCCTCGATGATGATGAATTGGGCATGGAGACCGTGTTTAAAGGAGAAAATGCCATCAACTCGGACTCAGGGTTCCTCATTTCTGATGTGTTGATCATCGCCAATGCATGCCCGGCAGGCCACCTACTCAACACCCTTGAATGATGGTGCCCTCTGGCATCAGATGACTCCGCCAGCTCGTCCCCCTCTACAGCAGGCATCCGATAAGTAAGCCGGCTATTTTTGTCATCCACATCGTCTGTAAATGACGAACAATCATCCAAACCGCCACGCATCAACACCTCAAGCCCCCTCCAGGATTCAACAAGGCCATCATCATCAGATGTACTCTCTACCCACTGTTCAATTTGCTGCTGAACATCAAATTCTTCAAAAGCAACGATTTTTTCAAACAGCTAATTTAGAACCTAACGCCTGGAGAATCGCCTAATCAGACAAGCCTAAAATCCAGAGCTCACCCAAATTTCCCAATCGCTGGAACTGAAACTTCCACAAATCACTCCATCACTCCTCTAAACCTAGAGCCCGATCACAAAACTCTGGTGCGNGGGGGGGAATGAACAGAAAACCTACAGTTCATCAAACCAGCTAGACTGTTCATAAAAAGAAGACGAGAATTCAAATCTTTTCATGAAATGAATGCATTAAGATCATGGAGCTCATACAGAAGTGAATTAAAAAGTGATCTATTTCAGGAAGATCACCCTGATTATAATAATAATAATAATAAGATGATTCAGACGAACGAGGAAGGAATGAAGGATGGAGCACGGAAACGTATCTCTAAACAGAAGACTCCGGATAAAAATCTGATACTCCGGACTAAGACTCGGACTACCATTTAGGGCGTGTTTGGCAAATATCCTTTTGAAAATATTATGTAGTACGAACTACTATAACCATACTTTGACAACATTCTTGAGTCTTGACCACCTCCTAACATAATCTTGTACTTGGTCCGTCCCTGAGTGTTTGTCCACTTTTGACTTTTGGAACGGTTCATCTAAACACTTTGGCTCATCAAATTCTCTCAATGTGTAAGCCTAAAAATAGTCATGTGTGATCTTGTTTGATTCGTCTTAACATATAGATTATTAATATATAATTTTTTAATATACAAATTACAAGATAAAATGGATTAAAGAAGTGCATTGGATGGTGTGCAAAAATGAAAGTGGACAAACACTCAGGGACGGAGGGAGTAGTAGTTTCTTATTTTGTTGGATTCTTTATATAATTTTTTAAATATATTAATTTCATTTTCTAATTCTTTATTATATTTAAAATAAATTAAATTGAAAAATAACTTCAGTCAAACCTCATAAACAACAACAAGCGACTCTTTTTGGGACGTTGGAAGTTGGATTCTGTGATTTAATGTTAGAGTTTAGCTCGCAAACAGGGGCGGACCCAGAAGTTTCATGTCGTGGGGTCGTGTTTGTAAGATGTTTAATGAACACACGACATGTCGTGCATTAAATAAAAAAGTATTTTTTGAAACATTTTGTCTCATTTTTGTTTATAATGTTTCGTATAACATTTTTTATTGAATTTATTTAAATATTGGCTTTGAATATAAACTTAAAAATAATAGATTAAAAAATAACATAAAACATTTTATAAAATAAGTTCATAACTAATTTTTAAGAAAATAATAGACGAAAACATGTAACGGAAGAATATCTAAATTGACTCTGTAAATAATCGAAAAGAAAAATATAACGTGATGATGGAGTAATTCATAAAATTAAAGATTATATTTATTTGAAAAATATTAAAGTGAATTGAAAATAAATAATTGTATTACAATGTGAATATAAATTATAACTTATACGAAGTAACCAGTAGCATCAACTTTCTATATTTTAAGATTATATTATTAGGTTGTACATCTAAATCCAGATATTCATCTAAGATAACCAATATCGACTCTCCAAGTCGTGTAAGTAAAACAAAAACGGTCATCCGCAAAAACAGAATTAATTGTAACCACTGATCAATAAACAGAATTAATCAATATACTGCAGGGCATGAGGCTGAAAGGTCAAACCGGGCTCTTTATTCTGGTGGCCATAGCTACCTATAACTTATAGGTGCGCTTCTCGGGGATTAGATGCCAGGAATGGTGAAATTTGAGGGGATTTATTAGCTGCCAAGCAAATCAAAGCCAAGAAGGAAGTCTAACACAACTAAGCACTTAAGAAATATTGCATTAGAAGATAAAAATCAGAAAGGCCAGGGTACAAAAGCTATCCAGTTGTTACAAGCTAAAGAGTGGACTGAAATGAAAAATGTTCCAAGCATCATGACTGCTTGACACCTACAGAAGCAAAATGAGGATATTACAAATGTTAACCTAGTCCTATATCCACACAAATCATATCCTGTTTTCTCAACACCATAATAACCCAAAATTAGATTGCTAAAACTTAATCAAATCAGACATTAGGCCAAAAATCAAACTGTCACTGTATGTGTCCAAGTGTGACACATATTCTAGTTGATAAACTTGCCATATTCTGCCACTTTCCGTTTCACTTGTACGGCAAGTTGATTATGATCAGAGGTGAGCATTTCGTAGCTATATCGGACACAAAGCATTCTTAATCCATTTACCTACCAAGAAATTTAAACTTCAATTAAAATAAGATAAAATGTGTGATAATTTTATCTTATTTCACCTTATAAACAAAAAAGACATAAGACTTACATCAATTTTGTTCAAATCAATCTTCCACGTATTCAAATTCCCCTTGAAAGTTTCCAATTGCCTCATGGTTATGACTTATGACACCAACACCCATACCTTCCATGTTCCCATAACATGCCTTCTTTGTTATTTCAAAAAGAAATTTGGAAATTTTACTTGGAGAAAAAAATACCTTTCTTAGTGGCGCTACTAAACCTGGAGAGAAAATCCGAAACCAAAGAGAATATGCTGCGAACGAACTGACGATGGCGATTGGGCGAACGAGAGCGAAAAACAAAGACAGCGTGCGTATCATCTGATGGGAACCGTAATGTTCACCACTGGCCAATGCAAAGCTCACCAAATACAACTATAAAGCTCACTAAACTGTAATGCAAAGCTCACCATATTTTTTCAACACTTTGAATTTTTTTTGAAAAAAAATCAAAGGAATTGGTGCTGACTAGACTTTGACCATTGACCGTTGACCATCACCGCCGCCGACCTCCGCCAGCCGCCGCCGACCTTCGCCGCCACCGGCTGCCAGCGACCACCTCCGCCGCCGCCGACCTCTTCCGCCACTGGTGACCACCTCCGCCGCGCCGCCGCCACTGACCAGTGGTTGACCGGTGTTGCTATTTTATTTTTTATTAATTTTTTAATTTTCAAAATAAAAAAAAGGTGAGTTTTGGTGTTCAAAGTGGTGATCTTTTCCTTATTTCCAGGTGAGCTTTACATTGACCATTGGTGAGCTTTGCAGTGTAATGTGATGAGCTTTACGTCATCTCACCATAATGTGATGAGCTTTGCAGTGTAATGTGATGAGCCGGTCGCCAGTCGCCGCTGCCGCCGGTCTCCGGACGCCGGTCGCCACCGCCGGTCTCCGGTCGCCAGCCGCCGTCGCCGGTCGCCGGAATCTGGCAGCCACCGCCGGTCGCCGCCGCTGCTGCTCCGTCGCCGTTGACCGGTGGTTGACCGGTGTTGTTATTTTATTTTTAATTAATTTTTTAATTTTTAAAATTTTAAAAAAAAGGTGAGTTTTGGGGTTCAAAGTGGTGAGCTTTGCTTTATTTCCAAGTGAGCTTTGCATTGTGCGTTGATGAGCTTTGCAGTGACCAGTAGTGAGCTTTATGTCATCTGACCGAAGCATGTCATATCACCCTAAAGTGTCATCTCACTAGAGTCAATCCCTATATATATATATTATATTTATATATTATATATATAATATATATATACATATATATAAATATAATATATATATATATATATATATATATATTCATCCCAATATTTATCAAAACCAAAACTGAACCAATTCAAACAAAACTAATAATTCGAGATCGGGATTGGTACGAGGTAAAATACCATACGGAACCGAAGTATTTGGTCTGATATCGATACGAACCAAAGAGCTAGTCTTATTAGAAGCCGTTGAAAGTTGAAACTAGATCTTTTTTTCCAGCCTCACACACTTTACTTTTGAAGATCAACTAAAGCTTTGGAATCTTTCAAAGGGGTGAAATATTAACAATCAAGAGCACAAGTATCTAGAGAGACACATCAACATGTATTTCACTACGAAATAGACACACAGAAAAGACAAATTATATAGAACTACACATGTTGACATTTTCACATCAATTTAAAAAAATTAGAAAACTTTCCATATCCATAAGAATATGAAGCTGCTAAAGTCCAAGCAATCAATCTATTCTATCCCCTTCATTCCAAGATAAAACTCCCCCCCTACAAATGACTTATGATGCCCTAACTACCGTGGGGAATCCCCTAACATTATTGGTAGGGAGGGGAAAATAGCTTGCCTCCCAGAGAAGGTGTTCCCACTCCTCCCAGGTCTCTTTGTCTAGTTCAAAGGGACCCAGTTCCTGTTGATTGGTGAAGGATTTGGAATCGAAATGCCCTCCGGGACCTGTTCCTCTAGGATGGAGACGAAGAATAAGATGAAGAAGAAGACGAGAAAGAATATTCGGATGCGGATGCATACGAGGTACCTGAAACGTTATGGCTATCCTCGGAAGACATGACCGGTAAGGAAAAAGCAGAGAAGAACCTGGAACTTACTTGGAATATTGAAGGCTCGGAGGGCTAAGGAAGAATTTGACCAGGAAAATTTCGAGAGCGGATTTGCAAAAACTGACCTGAAGAAGGGAGGAGAAAGCCTTGAAGTGACCTAATTTGCAAAAAGTGACTTGCAAAAAGTGACCTGAAGCAGATTTCCCACGCGTGGCAGGCAGAGGAAGTGAAGCGTCAGCCAGCACACGCGTGACACGTGGGAATACGAAACGATGGGTGAAACACAATGATGGCGTACGGAAAGAGCACGGAACGTGTTGAAATTCAAATTTTGAATTTCAAAATTTAAAAAATTTAGGAAGGAAAAGCTTAAAATTCAAATTTCAAGCGCCAGATTTCAAATATTCACTTCCCGCCCTTAATAAACTTACAAGGCTGAGAAGCTGAGGTCTTCTTTATGGGTGTATTCTATCCAAGACCTGGTCTGAAACCGGATCCACAGAAACTGACAGGTCAAGTTGCAAACATGTGAGAATGGAAGATTTAAATTAAAAATAGACCACTGGTCGTGTTCGGAAAAGTTGACCGGTACAAATTATAGACCTATTGGTTAGAGTACGTAACTTCAAGCTTGTGGTCTTCTGTCCCTTCAGAACACAGTCAAAGAGGTAAACCTACCAGGTAGGTTATTACGGTGTAAAGTGTTGGCACGAATAACTCTAAAGTCATTTGGACGGTAGTGACCGATTTTCAACGAAAGTTTGAGGAAATATTCCCTCAATCTCAGCTGGGCGCTACGCCCAAAGGAGTCATCAACACAACATGACAATGGAATTATGAAAAATGCTACGAGACAAAAGGAAGCTGCCTTGCGCCATTTGAGAACGTGGGTTGATGTGGATGTGGGGCGCTCTGTTCCCTCCTTTTCGTTATAAATACTTGAGTAACTCTCAAATGAAGGGATCCGATTTTTATCTCTCTAGAGTTCATAGTGTAATAGCTCCCGACACTCTCTTACATACTTAATAACAATTACACTACATGTGTTTCTACCTTTAGTTCTCTCGGTCAATCTTTGCTTTCTGCACTTCTTTACTTTCTAAGCTCAGCAGACTATTCTAGATTAGGTCTAGTACAGTTTGCCCGGGTGATTAATTTACACCATCAATAGACACAGTCATTTTTAAAAAGATAAAATTTTGCACAATGTTCAAATAATGTAAATGGATTTGGAACAAATGGAGCATATCAATCAATGAATAAAGATATTGATAAATAAAATTATATTAAAATAATAATCAAGAAAAATCAAATGAAAAGATCGGACGTGGCAATATTAATTTATACATAAAATAATTTTGGGAGACATTTTTTAATTTGGGGTAAATGTTCCAACAACTATGCTATGGGCTGACCAAAAAATATATCCCAAGTTGTAGCCCGAACGATTGTATTGACATTTTGATACTTCACACTGACAAAAATAGTAGTTTAATAAAAAAATTGCATAAAATATTTTGTGTTAGCATAAACTATCACACTAGAATCACACCAATACAAAATGTATTTTGGCACATATCTTCGGAGATATAATTTTTGAAGTACAAATAGATTACATGATCTCACAATTGAGACATTGTTGATATTATCATTAATTTTCGATAGCGCCATAACACACAGCGGGACTGCAAAATTTTTAGTCAGCCTCGAAAATATCCATTGAAGGATAAACAATTTTTAGTCAGCCGGCCGATTATATCCCAATTTTTTTCAGGGCCTCAACCTCAAATGGCGGTAAAAAATCCCAATCACTTCTTCGGATTTGAGCCCAAAAGGTATTGAACTGAATCACAGACTCCTCTCACGTAGGCTGTGCATATTTGTATTCATATAAAATGTAGATGTACATGTGTCCGCGAGGCCGAATTCGGCGGGAAGTTGGATACATATGAAGCTCGCCTTTGATTTTGGAGAAAAAAAGGCGAAATCTCTTGCAATCCAAAAAAACATAGAGATAGCCCGTTTAGAATGACTGGTGAGGAACGACGATCTATCCAGATGAATAATCAATATGTTGATAGCAATTATAAGCATGATTTTTTAAGAGAAGTATCTGTTTGATGTGTGAATTTGGGCAAGATTGTGTTTTTTAGGTTCGCTTGTTCGTCTTGTGGACTAAGGGGTTGTTTGTTTCAGCCTCTTAATGGTTCAGATGTCTGAATGGTTCTGCACTTAATGGTTCAAACTGTTTGTTTCAGCCTCTTAATGGTTCAGATGTCTGAATGGTTAAGAGATTTGCCTCTGAATGGTTAAGTATTATACAGAGTCTCAATGGTTAAGACCTCTTATCTGAATTGATCAGACATTTACCTCTGAATAGTTAAGCAATATACTAGCTCTTAATGGTTTAGACCTCTTACTGGTTCAGCACTTACTGGTTCAGACCTCTTACTGGTTCAGCACTTACCCATTCAGAAGTTGTCAAACAGCCCCTAAGATTATAGAATTATTATAGTAGGAAATCAGGGAGAAAATGAAGGTTAATGTGAGATTAAGAATGTGATATAATGACATGTGAGATTAAGTGCATGTCCGATTTGTCACCGGGCAATGCCATCCAACCAATCTAATAGAAACTTTTTTTTGTTTAGCTGGAATCATTAACACTTAGATAGGTTGTAATCTGTAAATATAGAAACCAATTTATCTCAACTGCTTGGTACTATGTTGATAGGGATACATATGGATTTACTATGAGGCCTCAACACCAGAGAGTATGCCAATATCTATAAGGTACGGGTAATTGTTTATCGCACCATTGCACACTACAAATACCATCAGCAGATTGAAAGGATTATGGCATTTGATATTGAATTGGGAGAAGGCATCAGCGAGTATGATACTGTATATGATGAAAATTTTTAACAATTGTGTAAAATATTCATTTCTTTATTCTCATAACCAAGGAAAATATCAAACAAGTTATGCTGTTTATTCACAACCATATCATGCTTTCACCATGCATGCTTTAGTGCCTAAATTAGTTTCACATATATGTGTTAGGAAGAGGAAGCAAAAAGGTCACATAAGTGGAATAGTTTTCTTAACAGCCAAGAATTATCTGTTCAACAACTTCATTGCCAAGAGGTCTGCAAGACTGATGATTCTGAAACAAGAAACCATATAAGTGCCTGCGATAATGTGGTCGGTGAGACTGGTGATTTATATAGAGAGAAGCCACTTCCTGACATTCATACAAAAAAATCTTCTTGAGAAAGAGACGTCAACTGTCATACAATCAAAACCCAGGGAGGTGAAGACATGGACTGACATTAGATCATCTCTATCTGCTATCGAAACTATGATGGCATTTCGTGTGAAGAACAAAAACTATGTGAAAGACATGAAGTTAGCATCTTCTCATGATCAACTTCTGCCAATTGGGGAGTCAAAACCTCTAAGGGAAGAATATGAGGACAAGAATGATGAAAGCAATAGTGTGATATTGGATGACAGTTCAAGGTCAGCTGCTAAAGGATGTACTCCAGGTGATAGAGGTCAAGTAGAACCTTCTGTGCCTTGGAAGAATGAACTTGAGCAACTTGTTCATAGAGGAGTACCAAGAGATCTCCGGGGAGATGTGCTTTTGTCATTTTATGACAAGTCTATAGTTATAAGGGTTTTTATAAAATTTATCTCTAACATTAAGATGGAATGAAACAATTTAGGTTTGGCAAGCCTTTGTGGGTGTCAAGGCACGCCGGGTTGAGAGATATTACCAGGACTTGACCATCACTGAAAATGATGTTGGTCCTTGCCCGAAGAATGACACACCATTGATAGACAACAATAGCAAGGGATCCAATAGAGGGATAGCTGATGTGTTAGAAAAATGTAGGTAGCAGATTGAGAAGGTCGTTAGATGCATGAGCCCTGGAATTTATCGTACAATCTTTTTAATTTGTAGGTGATACTTCTCTTTAGGATCCATGGTGGTCATTAAAGAATGCTACTCATTGCTTTGCAATTTGCATTATCGTGCTTTACAATTCTATACTTCTAATGTTCTAATATTCCAAAATAGTCAGTTATCCCAATGGAGGTGGTTTTACTCAGTTGCATTAAATGAATGAGGCTAAGTTGTACGCACTCACTGTCAAGTGGTCAAGAAACCCTTCTGTTTCATTACTAGCATCTGTTCCATGTCTCGCAGGTCTATTATATGCATAATGCAAGTTTTCATTGCCTGATCTTCTACCCTTTTCTTTCGTTAATGTAGGATCTGCCTCGGACTTTTCCCGGACATCCTGCATTGAATGAGAATGGACGAAATTCCCTAAGGCGCTTACTTCTGGCATATGCCCGACACAACCCATCAGTTGGGTATTGCCAGGTAATTTTTAGCTTAGTTTTAGTTGTATCTCAAATCAAACCTCACATGAATTCCTTTCATTTCCATGAGTTTTAGTAAATGGTGCAACTGTTGATTTTTTAAGTAAATAAATGAAAGGCACATTTGTTAATTTTTCGTATTATTGTGAAGCATATCACATGCAGTTTAATAGAGGAAAACCGATATTGATCAAAACTTTTACAGTTTTACATGGAGTTAGATATTTTACAGGTGTTCCATTTAACCATTGTTAAATCTTTCAGGGCCTTTGTGGGCATTATGGATGACTATTTTGATGGATGTTTCTCACAAGAAATGATCCAAGTCTCAGGTTTGCTTACCATTTTTACTCATTATGACTCTACAACTTGCACTGGTTACATCGGCAACTTCTTCCATTTTCAGGTTGACCAACTTGTTTATGAAGAGTTGATGCGTCAGAGGTTTCCTAAACTGGGTCCGTACATTGTTTTATAGATGAATGCTTGATTCTTGCTATATAGGTGATTACTAGGTTCTTAATATATTAATTTGCTGCGGTAAATCATCTAGATTACTTGGGAATGCAGGTTACATGGATATCTGCACCTTGGTTTCTTTCAATTTTTGTAAATATGCTTCCATGGGAAAGTGGTGAATGATATTGTGAAATAAGGGAACTTTAATTTGATTTTTGTAAATAGCATGGCAAGCTATTCATTCTTTTTCATTCTACGAGTTTGGGATGTACTTTTGTTTGAAGGGAGTCATGTCATGCTATTTCGAACTGCACTTGCTTTGATATATGGAGTTATATGGTATAGACTAAGCACTTGTGCTGTAATTTCTTGCTTCCTATTATTATAACACTTTCAATGAGAGGATGTTATGATTCTCAAATAACAACATGTCCTGCTATGGTGACAACCAATGATTCTGGAGATGCCATCACTTTATTACAATCCCTAGCTGGTTCCACTTTTGATAGCCGCCAATTTGTGTTGACTGCATGTATGGGGTTTTCAAATGTAATTGAAGATAGATTGCAAGAACTAAGAAAGAAGCATAGACCTTCTGTAATTTCTACATTAGAGGAAAGATCACAAGGTGGTCAAGTTCTAATTAAAAGATCAAAAAAGTCTTGTGACTAAGCTTTGTAGTTTCAAGCATGATTCTCAATTGAGAATGAAACAAGTAAAAACAGAGGAAGGTTCAGGTGATAGGATTGTAGACAATGATGAATCCCATTTTAGGACTAGCTCTACATATCTAGAAGTCAATTACATTTTAAAACTTCTTAATTTTTACACGGAGGAAGTTATTTTTATTCTATATACTCCCTCCGTTCCAGAATATTCGTCCAGTTTAGACTTTTGGAACTGTTTATCTAAGCACTTTGACTCATTAAATTCTCTCAATGTGTAAGCCTAAATATAGTCATGTGTGATCTTGTTTGATTTGTCTTAACATATAGATTATTAATATATAATTTCTATAATTTTTTAATATACAAATTACAAGATAAAATGGATTAAAGAAGTTGGTGTGTAAAAATGAAAGTGGACAAATACTTTGGGACGGAGGTAGTAATATTTAAAGAATGAAATTTCTCTGTATTTTCAATAAATATTATTCGTCTCACAAAATATTCTCATTGTTGACTTTTAAAGAATTTAAGGAGAGTGTATTTTGGTGTTGACTTTCCAAAAATGCCTTTGGATGGTGATGGGTAGATTAATAGTAAAAAAGTGTGATATGATAGGTAGGTTAAGATATAATAGGGGTAAAGAGACTTTTTAATAGAAATGAGAGATTCTTTGGGCAGATGAAAAAAGAAAGGAGAAAGGTTTTGCGGGACGAAGAGAGTAATAACTATCATGATGGGATAATACTCTTCAGTCCCATAAGATATTGATATGACTATATTTTAAAATGAATACAATTTTATTACATTTATATTATAAATAAATACACTTTTTTACAATCCGTCAAGTCTGCAGCCTTTTTCGGACAAAAGTATTAACCTGGTTAACGTAAATATTAAAAAAATTTCAAACATTTCAAACTTTAGTTCATAATAAAAATATTCATAGCTGATCATATAATCTGATTTGATCAGCTATAAATTTATTTAATTCAGATTTAATTAATTATTATTATATTAATAATAAAAATTTATTATTAATTATAATTAATAATTATTATTAATATAATAAAAATAATTTTTACTATTAATAATAATTATTTTAATTATTATTATTATTATAAGTATATTTATTAAAATTGTTTTAATTATTAATTATTTTTGCTATTAATACTTAGTGTTATGATTATTGATGATGATTATCATTATAATTATTTATTTTAATGTTTTATTTTGAACAAAATCACCTTCTTCATTTATCACCACCAAGTTTACAATCAAATATATCTACTTCTAATTACATAAACCAAATTAAACACCACATATACTCAGCATTCCCTCTATCCTCTCCTTGTTCAGTAGGTTGATGTTGTATACTTCACCCATTTGAGTGTCTCCTCCATCTTTGGCGTTGTTTTTGAGTGGAGTAACTTGTTCCTGGCTCTCCAAATAGCGTAACATGCTACAGCATTGGCACTTGTTAGTTGTTTCCTTCTAACCCCCTTTGTTTTCATTATGTACTGCCTTATCTCTTAACCCCATCACCCTCAATTCTGTAGCCCATCCAGTTCGATACTCTATTTAGTAGCTCAGTAGTCTAAACACATTTACTAAATATATGCTCTTGGTCTTCTGCAGCTGTGCAATAGGGTGGTGTTTGGGTAATCAACCATTGGAAGAATTGGTGTTTGGGTAAAGTAAGGTTGCTCCAAACAAAAGGGAACCAACTAGGTTTTTCTTTTTGCCCCATCAGCCAGGCGTAACCCAACTCAGTAGTGTAGCCTTTTGTCATATCCAATAAAAACAACAATCCCGTACTATGAATTATTTAAGTAATTAATATTAATAATAATATAATAATATTTTTATAATTAGTAATTATAATTATAATTATATTTATTATTATTATTAAAAATCAATTATTATTTTTAATAATAAGTGTTATGCTTAATGATGAAGATTATCAAGTATTATTATATTTACAAATAAATATTATTTTGAATTTTATTATCATTATTATTAATTATTATTCACTAAAAATTCAAATTATCCTTATTATTATTATTAATATAATTATTATTATTTTAATTATTATTATTATTATTATTAATTACTATTATTGATTACTATTATTTTTTTCATCATTTATTAATGATTGTTTGTTAAAAATAATTATTAACATTATTATTATTTATTATTATTATTGTTATTATTATTACTCTATATTATTTAAATGTTGTTTATTTTGAAACATTTTTCTAATCTAAATTGATCTGACTTGATCTGAATGAATCTGATGTGATCTAAACTAATTTGAATGAATATGATCTGTCTGAACAGATCTGAATGAATATGACTTGATCTAAATTGATTTGAATTTAATAAAAATAAACAATAAGTAGCAGAAATAAATTAACGGTACCTTAGTTAAACTTTGTTGTCATTAGACCACAACTTTTTTTCTACATACATGGAAAACCCTTTATACGGAGTATTTTTTAATATTTGGAAGAGAGTAAATCCTAATAAGTAATCAATGTTATTAAACTCAGACCGGACCGTCCGGTCCAACCTATTGGACCGCGAACCGTACACCACAACTAGGCAGGAGAGATCTTAACCAAATGAGCTACTCGGCTTTTGCTAACAATGTCATGCAATGTTGAATATATTAACTTCTTAAACTATTTAGAGAGTAATTTTAAAAAACTTCCAATTAATTAAAAAAAGAACTATGTTTATATAATATATTTTATATTGTTAATTTTTTAAGTAGTTCAAACTTATATATAATTAGTATTATTTATTTTAAATCCTAAGAAAACTATAAATAATCTATACTTAATGTATTATTCTTTATATTTAAATTATTAATTATAATTTAATATGCCGCTTTTTTATATTTTCAATCATTTTAATCAACTAAATATAAATTTTACTCCGTAAAATGTAACTAGTAAATAAGAATATATTATTTATTCTTTATTTTTCAAAAAAAAGAGTATTACCTTATAACTTAAGTGTGTGCTAGATACTCATTGTTAATTTTTATAATAATAAAAGTAATTGAATAAAGAGTAAATTCCAAAAATAGTCCTTTGTAATAAGGGGTTTTCCCAAATTAGTCCTCAATAAGTTTTAATTACCTACGTGGTCCTCTATAATTGAGGTTTATTCCCAAAATAGTCCTTTATAATAAGGTGCTTTCCCAAATCAATCATCAATAAGTTTTAATTACCTATGTGGTCCTCTATAATTGAGATTTATTTCGAAGATGGTATTTCGTAAATAATGTTACTCAAATAAGGATTAATAGAAGGTATTTTTTTATCCTCTAAATTTAGAATTAATTCTTAAAATAATCATTTATAATAAAGTACTTTTCCAAAATGATTTTTCTAATTAGAGATGTGTATTTGATTTGAAATTTAAAACATTTTTTTAAGTTTTAAATAATTCATAAATTATTTATAGTCAATGTATTTTTTAAATTTTACATTTA